AAGTTCCATATCTTATCACGACTTTTAAAAATATGAATAAGATAAATATGTATTGGGTAGTGTTCATAGCTCACCACCACTAAGGTATATTTAAGAGGACATACAATGATCATCGTATAGCTGTGTGAATTATAGAGCAAAGAGTGAATAAATACATTCTCAGTGTAAAAGAAATAAGCCATTGGTATGTATATAGAATAAATCAGGAACATCTCCCAACTTACTTCCTAAACAGTTTGGAGGGCAACTTTTTAGTCCATTTCCATGCATTTTATAAATACAGAATAGACACATGTTCTCTCACATACAAGCTCTCCCTTAAGCAGAAATGGTACCAATCCCACAATCATTGTTCTATAACTCATGTCTTTATGTTAAACAGTCTGTGGAAGGAGACACATCTCTTAATCCTTTCCTTCATGTCTCCTGGGTTTTGCCTCTTACTTTAGAAGTTCTTCCTGCACCCCACTGGTATTCCAATTTATTTTTAAAGTGGGGGGGGGGTGAGTGTTCATCTGTGCTTGAATGGACTAGGCAGGCACTTAGAGAGTGACAGCCTGCTGGCCCAGAGGTGGGGCAAAGACAGTGGCTGTCTTGGCCAGGTCTCTGTGCCAATACCTCTTTGGTTTCTCAAAGGTGCTCCTTAGAGCCTCACCTCACCTCGGCCCCTCCCACTCCCTGCCCAGCCTTGTCTTCAGTCCTGGTCCTCACTCTCTTTGCTTTCCAGGGGACAGCAGTGGTTTCCAGGTAAGTGAAGGGGGCCCATGGAGGGTGAACAGGGACAGGTTCTTTCTAAAAATGCTTTTCCTTTTAGTATGTGAGAGGAGAGGGTCTGGGTCTGTATCTAGATGTGAGGGTGCAAGCAATTGAAGTGAGAAGCAACCTCCAATTTTATACTGATTCAGTTCAGAGAAGTCAGGGGGAGAACTGTTTCTGGTGCTTTGGAAACTTAATCAAGCACCAACATTTTGATAAACCATCAAAACTGCTCAATGATCTAAATCTCCTTTATCTTTAAGATCAAAAGAAAAAGAATGACAAAAGTCGATGAGAAGATGTGGTCAAATTTTGAACATTTAGTCACCAGTTTATATCAGTCAAATTGTTTTTTCTTCTTTCTACTTTCTACTGTCTTTCCCCCCAACCCTTACTGCTTTTTAGTCCTTCCCAGCACCTTAGGATGGAGAGGGGAGAGCGGGGCTCTGACTGAGTGGTGGCTCAGTCAGATGAGCGTCTGACTTTGGCTCATGATCTCACAGTTTGTGGGTTCGGGCCCCGCGTTGGGCTCTGTGCTGACAGCTCAGAGTCTGGAGCCTGCTTCATGTTCTATGTCTCCCTTTCTCTCTGCCTCTTCCCCACTCACACTGTCTCTCAAAAATAAACATTAAAAAATTTTTTTTGAAAGATGGACAGGGGAGAGAAAAAGAGATGGGATTCCATGTAATCAATTTTTCTACTACAATGGAGTCATATCTTATGTGAGGAGGTTAGTTTCCAAAGGGAGAACCTAAGGTCAAAATCAGGCGCAGTCAAAATTATCTTTCATAGGTCCTTTGGTGGGCCATAGGCCTTTGGTGGTCCTTTGGTGGGCCAGTTTTGTTTTGTTTTGTTTTGTTTTATTTACCTGTGGCATTGAAACAGATATGTTTCTTCAACTGAGCACTACAGAAAATAATTGATTTGCATTTGGGAACAGATGAATGGGAAGTAAGTACCTTTAAACTCTAGATTGATGTTCCATGGGGTGAAATCAGCTACATAATTTGCAAAGTCCACTGCAAAATGAAAATGCGGGCTCTTTATTGAAAAATTGTGAAGAATTTCAAGATGGCAGCAGCAGAGCATTAAACTAAGTATAGGGCTCTTCCAAGTGTAGAGCTTTGTGCATCGACACAGTTTGAGACACCCAGGAAGCCAGCCCTGGGTAAAAAGCTTGGAACCTAATGTGAAGCTTGGAAACTGAGATCAACTCAGGAAGAGAAGCCTCACGACTCCCATGGAGAGAACAAGGGGCAAAATCACTGCCAGTGTTCAAATTATTCTGTCCTGCGCCCTGCACCCTGTCCTATCTGAGCACATATAGTTGAATTTACATGATGCTCAGTCAGCACAAGATGCAGAGCCACAATACAAGGTAAATGGTTGAGACGTTGCAAGTCCATATTAAAATTACATTTGGGGATTTTCTGATTTTTTTCAAGGACTCGCTATAATTTAAAACTCAGATTTAAGATGTGTAAAAAGAAAATGAGTATTTTTATGTCTCCATCCAGCAATAATTTTCATCAGCCCTTAGTCATGTGCCAAAGGCAACAGAACAGATTTAGACTATTGTGTAATTTGTAGGTGACAAACCAACTGCATTACTATGAACTTTCTAAGTTGTTCCAAAAGGAACGTTAGAAAGATCAGGTGTGAAAATAAAAAACATAACTTACTAAAGAGGTTGCCTCTGACCTTTTTTTCCAGAAGGTCGTGAACATAATCTGAGCAAGGAGGATTTTATTCTATGACTGCCTGAACTCTCTGAGCAAGAATGTGAAACAAGGCTCATTTTGAAGGGAACTGCCTAATATCTTATAGTACTATATTTTTTCAAAGTGTCTTTTATGTGCCAGCCAATATGAGGGCAGCTGGCCAGGTAATTGACCAAAAGGTTTCCAGAGAGCAAGTTATTTAATGTCAAAGTAGCAGTAGATTGTGCTTCCAGGATATTTCCTCTCTGAGCTTGGGTCTCTGATGTTACCCTGCCCTGTCTACCTTAAGGTTCTCACCCCAGCACATGCCGAAACTTGACTCATCTGCTTTGACAAAAAATTGCTTCCTTGTGGCTTTGAGAATTATGTATTTGAGCTTTAAAATAAGTGCCAAGCCTAGGGTCAGGCAGCTGGTCACCCAGGTAGACTGGACAACTTTCCTGACTCATGCTCACCTGCTCCAAGTTATGTAAAAACACAAAAACAACACTCATCAAGCACCTATCAAGCTAACAAAAGAAGCAAAACCACAATGCGTCATTGTCACAGTGCCCAAAAATTGGGAAAATGTTTTTGGTTAATCTATTGTGGAGTTTTTAGGTAGTGATGGCGGTTGTTGAGTAGCGGTTACTATTTGGCAAGAATCGAAATCAGAGGCTTCTGTCATCCTGACTGCTGCTTCCAACAAACAATATAAAAATGAGCATGTTCACAAGAATGAATCTATGGGTGGCAACAGCATTCTCTCCTTAATCTCTTGGTTTGTATCGAGTTACATATTTTAGAAGAAGGGAAGAGAGAGTGGCATAAGGAAACACAAATACAAGTTTATAGAGATCAGCCAAGTTTGTTCAGAGTGATTTGCCTAATAGTTTCAATAACTAACACTGACTAGACTTACTGTGTACAGCTCTACGCACTTCACATGCTTTATCTTGTTCCATCCTCACCATAACCGGATGAGATAGTTATCATTGTTATCCGTTGACCAAGATCTCACGGGTAGTTAAGTCAGAGCCAGGGTTGAACCCAAAACAAGTCCATGTTGTAACACCAAATTATTCCATCTAGGATAACTGGCCTTTTTTTTTTTTTTTTTTT